CTTTTATCCGCAAACATCTGATGTTATCCGCAAACATATGCTTTTATCCGCAAACATCTGATTTTATCCGCAAACATCTGCTTTTATCCGCAAACATCTGATTTTATACGCAAAATCTGCTTTTATCCGCAAACATTTGCTTTTATCCGCAAACATCTGATTTTATCCCCAAACATCTGATTTTAATCGCAAACATCTGATTTTATCCGAAAACATCTGCATTTATCCGCAAATATCTGCTTTTATCCGCGAACATCTGCAAACATCTGCTTTTAATTACAAACCTCTGATTTAATCCGCGTTCGGTTTGCCTGCATTTTCTTTGTCCATTTCGTTCCTGTTTCGTACGCAAACGTCTGGTTTCATTCGCGCTTTTTGTTTTCCTTTTTCTCGTGTATACTTTAGTTTAGTTTACCTGCTTTGTCAAATTTTACTGAGCTTTAACTAACTGGTTGTTAGCCGTTCACGGCACACAACTTTATAACTCTAAAAGGAATTATTTGAATAAAAACAACCTGTAAATAAGTTTATTCAACACGACATTTTCCCAAAGGGAAAATAATTTAATTATATTCACCCGATTTAAATTTAAAAATCAGGTATACTGTAGTGAAGAGTACCACATAAATAAGTCTATTAATTCTTACATATATATTAAAAATATTGGTTATGCCAAAATTAAAAAGTTTATAAAGTTAGATGAAAAATTCTACGCCGAAATAAGTGTTTTTCAAACAAATTCCATACAAATTGAAGATGTTATAATTCCAAATGTATTTGAAATTAAACATAAATGTTTTCTAACAATTAATTTAAATGTAAGCTTAATGATTAAAAAATGTCTATTTATGTCTTTTAACAAAGACCTTATTTGTATTTTACCAAATAATATTGAAGTTCAATAAACTTATTTCCTTTACAGGTTGTTTTTATTCAAATAATTCCTTTTAGAGTTATAAAGTTGTGTGCCATGAACAGCTAACAACCAGTTAGTTAAAGCTCAGTAAAATTTGACAAAGCAGGTAAACTAAACTAAAGTATACACAAGAAAAAGGAAAACAAAAAGCGCGAATGAAACCAGACGTTTGCGTACGAAACAGGACCGAAATCATAGTTGGGAGAATTAGATATACAAAAAAATAAAATACAGTGTTTAGTTTACCACAATTTAATTTACTTTACTCTTAAGGAGATACGACCAGGGAAAAAGAGCTTGAGAAAAAAACCTGTTCGGCTATGAAGTAGCAAAGGATTACATGATTAGGCATTGTTTCTTTAAAAGTTTATGCAAATCAATGGAATGACACGACGCTCATTACGTTATCTACCCCCTACAGGTTCAGAAATAGGAAAAACGTTGTTAGTTTAATATGGCAGTTAACTGTTAGTCTGTCAACGTTAACGTTGCCCTGTGGAGAACGAGGTCCATACTGGAAGCAACTCCCCTAAAGATTAAGGTTCTGGATAAAAGTTGCGATGCCTCCTAGAGAACCTAGCTGACCAGTTATCCCTCACGGTGTGGAGCATTTTAGTATCTACTGCAAACTACGTGCTAAAGAAAAAGGAGCATTCAAAGTTTAAAATTAATGGTCAATACTCCCTTTTAAGCAACGAAACGTCCTGTATTACACCGATATTTGATTTAAAATTACCACAAAAAATGCATAATCGTGTTGGGAAGGTCTAAACATTTGAGTTACAGGGACACTGTACAACTAAATTAAGCCTTAGACAATAAAATAACGGAATAGAAATTTTTACATTTAACAGTAAACTTAGAAGCCAAAAACATTTTATAAAAATAGCTTAAAGAAAAGGTGTTAATATCGGGGAAAATTCGCTAAACGTAGTAGTGCAAAATAACTAATGATCAGTTTACTTAAATCTGAATCGTTCTACGTTTAGTGGACTTTACTACATAATTTGGGCTACTAAAATTAAGAACTAACCTGGGAGAATACACAAACACTTGTATCCATTATTTAAACAGAACTTTACAATAAATTTCGTTTTAGTAAAAATGTATAAGAGCGATGCGTTCCATACCATTTTCAAACACTTTCTGCCTGTTTTTTTCTTCCCTTTACTCGCTTCGTGTACCTGGACCATCGAAGAACTTGTAATTTCTTTACTTAAGTGTCCCTTTCTACCTTTTTTGCAAATATTTGCCTTAATTTAGAGGCTGAAGGACCCCGGTCGATGGCCTTTTGTATGTTTTGTATTATATGTTCTGTATTGTACTGAATATGCAATAAAAACTTTATTTATTTATTATTTATTTAGAAATTCCAAATTTATACAAAAATAAATTTGTAAAGCGTATAGAAGTATGGAACCATTACAATACCTTATCGTTTTTATGAAATCGATGCATTTTTACACTAAATTCCCTGCTTTTGGACTTTTGTACACAACAAGAATTAACCACAATAATAAATACACAATAAAAATTTAGAAGGCTATTAAGACTTCAAATTTAAGTTATTTTTGCCATTCTTTTTTATGGCTAATTATTATGACAACTGTCATTATGTCTCGGTGATAAAAACAACTTTGGCGACATTAGATCCTCTGGCAAGCATAGTCTAAACTTCTCAGCGGACAAGTTTTTGCATAGCAAATATGCACAACCATCTGTTAGAATTCATTTAAACTGCAGGTTTCCGGTAATTAAACTGTCCTTGACGTCGGGAAGTTACTAAAATTATCTCATAGATGATGAAATTTGCATCGTTACAACTTTATACAGAATTTTCGGTTTAACTTTTGTCACTAACCACTTTTAATTGAATATTTCTTCATCCTCGTCTCCAAATGTCGTGTACTGGATTATTTGAAATAATAGTCTCTAACTTCAACTTAATAGAATAATTCTCTCTACGTATTAAATTGGGCCCAGAGATTGGACCAATCAAAACTGACTGACTGGGGCGTTTGTGCCATACATTACAATAATGTTATGTTAAAGGCAGCGTTAGTAGTTCAAAGAAATCGATCGCACCCTTCTGGAAAGAATGGATGCTAACTTTCGCTAAGGCTTCAAACATCCGTGTAAATGGTCACCACATCAATGACATAATTTTTCGAACATAACATTCTTCAAAAATTGATAGTGCACTTTTCATTTTAAAACAAGACTACTCCCGCGCCTCACCCTGTATATATTATACGAGTATGTATCATAGCCGTCAAGGGGAGCAGCTACCCCTCCATTTAATTTAATCAAATGCCAGGTCACTTATTATCCGATTTATAATTCCTAGCAGTTATGGTTTGAGAGTAATTCGTTTTTCTATAATCAATCGCAGAAAAAACAAGAAATTATTTTGAAATTTTAAATAAGCTTTTTACCATTTTGGTAAAAAATATTTAAATTCATTTAATTAAACAAATTTAATTCGATTTCTTAAGCGTATGTCTGACGGGACACGGTGCAACTAATCTAACTTGTCTTAAAATAGAAAATGTTCTATTTTCACGCAATAAAGTCGCGGCGACTAAGTAACTTTTGTAGGGATTTACGAATTTTCACTTTTTCAATATTTATCAGCTGTGGAATGACAGATGAGTTTTCTATTGTGATTTGCGTTTATAATCTATGCGTTTTTTTATTAACATGCCTGTAAAAATAAATCAAACAGGCTCATGGGGTTTTTACACCACAAAATACTTACAACGAAAATTTTACAACTTAGTAATTTTCGGTTAATCCTAGTAGAAAATAGCGTCAATTTGGTTGCATCGTGTGAACACCCTAGAGGCGAGAAAGTCGCTGCAACTTGTCGCCGCAACAAAGTCTCCACGAGAAGTTGCACCGTCAGACCGGCCATTTTGTTTTAATTCAATGTCGATTATCGCGTTTAGTACGTTAAACTGCATTCTTTTACCCTTTAATTCCTGTTTTTGTTTATCCAATTTCCTTTTCAAAAAGATTTTAATGGATTTTCAAGAAACAAAATTTGATTACTGTCCGTTAAACCTGGTTGAGAAGTAGGTCTCCTGGACAGAAAAAGGTTAAATATTTCGACTTTCCACCGTTATCGGTTAAAAAAAAAAGCGATTTACAGACAGGCAACAGAAAAAACAAGTTGTTGCGATCCATAAATTTGAAGGTACATATATCGGTGCTCCTTTACCCACTGTTATTTTAAGACATTCGAAGCCGAATTGAGCCGAAGCCTACTTCCTTATAGAAAATTTCGAGGTTTTACAGTCTGTTAAATGTTCGGCTTCGGAAAAATGTTTGGCCGAAGGTGGTATTTTTCGCCGAAGCCGAAGCTTCGGTCGGACACTACGAATTGTATTTATTTAACGTACAATTCATATCTCTATTTATCTGTATCTATCATCTTGCCCCCCTGGCCCATTGACTGGCGACTCCGTTGTTATGTACATATGTGACATATTATAAATATACCTGTCAAACAATGTACGTAGTCTGGTCTGGTTTAAAATTGTTTTGGCCTGTCAGAGCTGGGTTCGAATACAGGTTAAATGTATTCGAATCGGTAATCGAATATCGGTTACAAATACATTTCATTAAGTATTTTAAAAAATAATACAAATTTTGGATACATAATTTTAACAAAATCTGTATTCGAATCCAAGCATCCAAATACTATTTTCGAATACTCTTGTTAGGATACAAATTAAAAAGAAAAATGTATGATGATGGCAAACATGTGTTATATTTATTGGAATCTTTTTTCAAAATATCTTAGCCACTCTTCTTTTTTTGATGTTTTTTTCTATTTTTATTTGTTCGCAATTTGCACGAAGATTGTATTTGTCAATTAAGGTTACTGATACGAATAACGGATACAAATTTATAAAAAAAATTAGAATACAGTGATCGGATATACAAAATGTATTAGATTACAGTATTTGAAGTATCCATTAAGACCGATCTACGGCATGTGTAATTTGTTTGTTTACATTCGTTTTAGAGACTTATGCTTAATCGCTATGTCAAAGTTTTATTAAAAAACACTATTTTTTAGAAAGAAAACATAATAGCAGAAAAAGTACCACTTGTACCTGAACTTCTTAAACTTTCACAAAGTACATACTCAATAGAATCCATATTACAGAGACCCTTGCCCGAAGGGGTGGACCCAACAAGATTGGAAATGTACTTATCACCAGAGGATTTTCATAATCTGATGAAGATTTCTCTTAAAGAGTTTCAAAATTTACCCTCCTGGAAGCAAACAGCTTTAAAAAAAGAAAATGGCCTTTTTTAAAATTACCTTTGTTAGTACTATATGTTTTGTATTGGATCAAATTTTAAATAAAATATTTTTAAATATCTTGTTGTATTATTTTTCTTTTTAGAGGGTGTCCTTAACTAAAAAAACAGTCATGGGCAAATGAATATCTTATCTGCCTATATCTGCATTATGCCCGCATTCGTCCATCGTTAATCATCCGGTTTCATCCGCAAACGTCGGTTTTAGTTAGTTATAACTACAGTGCACCACCGTCAATTATCCGCAATAATTGGCTTTTCTCTGCAGTTAGTTTTATGCCTGCATTCATCTGGTTTTATCCGCAAACAGACTTTAGTCTCTATAGTAAAACTAGTGCATTTAACTTTTAAAACAGCGGTATTAAACTGATTTACGCACCAGTGGTTGGGCAGACTCTGGTCTCCAAAGTAACTGTTTCACACCCATGCCTTAGCTTATAAATCCTAATCCTTGAAAAACAGCTATAAAATGTACATATATTGAATTTGCGCGCACATAACAAATACTTGCTTACGTAAATCATCCGCAATCATCTGATTTTGCCTGCATTCATCTGGTTTCATCCGCAAAAATCTGTTTTCGTTCGGTTTTATTCGCGCTTGCCTGCAATTTGTTTGTCTGTTTTCGTCTGGCTTTATCCGCGCTTGCCTGCTTTTTGCTTGCCAGCTTTCGCCCGGTTTGATCCGCAAATGCATGCTACATTCGCGAACGCGTTTTTTGTCTGGTTAGTGCACTATGTTAATCATCCGCTCCTGTCTGGTTGTACATGCATTTCGTTTATGTCTGCATTAATCTGGTTTCATTCACAAATGTCTGATTTCGTCCGGTTATATCCGCGATTGCCTACATTTAGTTCTGTCTGCATTCATACGGTTTTATCCGTAAATGTCTGATTTCGTCCAGTTTTATCCGCATTTGTCTGCATTTCGTTTTATGTTTGCATTTATCCGGTTTTATCTGTAAATATAGGTATTTGGTTTTATGTCTGTATTTATCTGGTTTATCCCCAAATGTCTGATTTTATTCGGTTTTATCCGCCAATGCCATGTATAAGTTCATCCATTTTGTTTTACCCAAAAATGTATCAGACATTCGTCCAGTTTAAGACATTGTATAATCGATAGGTTTGTTTTACAACTTGTTTTGAAATTAAAACTGCTTTCGGCAAATTTTATAAAAGGAGTCTTTATAAACCACCCTAATAAAATAAAAATCGTTTAGCCGACAAAGGGGACAGGCAGAGAAATGGTGGTGGAAACAGAGGTTTCCTTTTTAAAAATCGGCCGTAGCTAAAAGAGAGTTTGTCAAGAATTAAGAGAGTAAAGTCGATTTATAAAAATACATATATTTTGTTAAAAAAATCTAAGTTAGTTAAATATAAAAAACAGTTTATTCCATCTCAAATTGCGACCCTAACATATTTGGTGTCAGAAGAAAGTGAGATTATCAAGTTTCATTGGCCCGCCCAAATCAAACCGTACATCTAGCATTACAACTGAAGTGAGATCATCAAGTTCCATTGGTCCGCCCAAATCAAACCGTACAACAATACAACTGTAAGTACCTAGTACTCATAATCCATAATCCTTTAAGTATTAATTGATAGTTCGTCTTATTATTACAATTAATTAAACAAAATGCCGGGTGAAAAACAAACAACGACATTTGAATAAGACACATATTCGCATCTTTTTATCACCCGCAAACCAATGGTGCTTTAGAACGTAGTCACGCGGTTTTAAAAGATTACTTAAAACATTTTATTAATAAAATGCAATCAGACTGGGATGAATATATCCCTTCTGCAATGTTCAGCTACAACTCAAATATACACTCTTCTACGAACTATAGTCCCTTTGAACTTCTATACGGTAACAAACCATCAATACCGTCTAAATTAACCGCGAAACCTGAGTTTAAATATACGTACGATGACTACGTATCGTAACTTAAACTCCCTTTAAATAATTCATTCGAGATGGTTCGAAATAACCTTATTAAATCAAAAATTAAGAGTAAAGCTTACTGTGATAAAAGGATTAACGACATTGAATATAAAGAAGGTGATAAAATTTAAGTTATTAATAAATCTATTCAAAAGGGAATCAGCACTAAACTTTCGATTAAATATAAAGGACCTTACACTATAATTAAAATCAATAAAAATAAAACTTTAGTGGTGAAAATACAAAACAGACTCGTAACATATCACAAAAACAACACAAAACCCTATGTTTTAGGAAAAAATACCGATTAAGAAACAAACCCTGGTCATGATTCTGAAAACTAAACGAATTCCTTTTTATTTCCTTTTCCTAATAATTGCCTATTGTCAGTTTCAATTAGTCAAAACAGAATTATTTTCAATTAAGCTTATAGAATATAAATCAGGAATATATTTTAACAATTTCGGGTTAGCTAAATTAATTATCGACAAATTTACCTTATTAAGTTATACCAATATAAGTCTCTATCATAAAAAAAATGCTTTTCGTTGAAGAAATTTACCTTAAATCAGGCCCTATTTGTTCACAAATAGTCAAACAAAAAATTCATTCATTTCACTGTACCGAATCTCTAAAGTTAATAAAATTATAAATCGGAAAATTAAGAGAAAATTTTGAAACCATTGAACATTTAACTGGTTATAATTTCGAAAATTTAAGCAACAAACGAGGTATTTTCGATGGCGCCTCGTATGCTTTTAAATGGTTGTTCGGAATTCCGAATGCTGATGACGCTGAGTATTATTCAGACTCCATTAAAACATTAACAGAGCAACTTCAAGACACGCAAATGTTTATGAAACAACAAATTTCTATATTATCAAGCGCAATTTCCAGTTACAACAAATCAGCTATATCGTTCATCACAAACGAAGAAATTTAATCTTTCATCGATAACATGATGCATCAATAAATTTAACTCATTTAAGTAAGACAGTTTCAAATCAAATAAATTTTATTAATATAATAGAAAAAAATACTGAACATGTTAACTTATTGCTCCAATTAACTAGCGAAATAAATGAGGAATTTGATATAATTATAATGGGAATTCTATTCTCTAAGCAAAATATCCTACACCTTTCCGTAATAAATCCAAAAAATTTAAGATCAGAATTACAAAAAATTAAACTAAAAGTTGATATTTTACTTGATAATTATATCAACACATATTTTAAGTTATGCGAATTATCCGTAATATATAATGACGAATTGTTAATGTATGCTATTAAACTACCCTTAGTACACGAACAACTTTATAATATATTCCAACTCATACCGCTACCTGTTTCCCATAATGATACCTTTACCTTCATAAACCCAACACAACCCTTCCTCATAATGAGCACTACTCGTACGAAATACAGTTATTTGAGGAATCTGGATGATTTTACGAAATAATCCTCAATGGACTTTACTAATAAGTGTAGTAGCCTTAATAATCCTCTGCTGCTGCTGCTGCAGGAATTGTCCAACTTGGATGACTAGATGGTTTCCTACAAATAAATCGGGATGTGGCAGTTTCATGGAAATATGTATAAACAAAATCGTACCGCGCACCCACCGATGAATGAGCAGATTAAGATACCAAGACGACTTTGATGATGATGATGATTGTTACACAGGAAGAAGTTACCAACAAAACCCAGAGGAAGAAAAATCTCACAGACTAACCCCTAGAGCACGAAGATCACTTTCCTCAACAGCACCCGCGACTTCCTTTACCGTAGGACCGTTTAAGTGTTAAAAAAACCCGAATTTTTGAGTGACGATTAAATAAGTGAGTGTAGTTAAGTAAAGTTAATTTAGTTAATAATTATAATTAGTGATCTATGTAGAAACATTTTAATTTTAAATTATAAGGAGGGGAAGGCGGAACCACAACCCACAAGCCCTTGCCAACCACTCTGTCTCCCCTCCCTACTGTGCCTAAGGCTGTTTTTGAGAAAATCTTTATTTGTACATAAATCGGGTTAGTTTTACAAGTCATGAATTGAGCCAAAGGCTCTGATACATATGAATATTAGTAAAGCTTAACCCCTTCAGACCTGAATTATCTTTTAGACTAGAAAAATTTTTTTTTATTACTTTGTATGGAATTTCTGAAAAAATTTCGATTTGTAACAAAACACAGGTGTACTTTGCATATCACGCATTTTATGTGGGTCTTGCCGTAGCACATTTTGGGTTTTTGCATCTGGTGTCTTCCTTTTTTTTATCATATTCGGGCATATGATCTACCAAATCTAACTGTACCTCCCGCAATGGTCTCGATTATTTTTCTTTTAGATGACGTAGGGGTAATGGTGGGGGTATTTTCCCTGCTAGGACAGCCATTTTTTTAGAGACAGGCTTTTCCACCCGTATGAGAGATTCAGCGATGCGCATTTTAAAATGTGCATCCTGAGTGTCCACTTTTTTGATTTTATAAAGATGCGGTAGTGACTTACAAGTTGATCCAGACAATCTACGCGTCCCATACATTCATTATATAATTTGTTTACCTCGAGTCGGTTTATTTCAATGTATTCTTTCCTACTTTTATCCCATCGTCTAACAGTATCTTCTTGACCAATTCCTATAATTCAAAACTGTGACGTCAGAAGGCAAATCGGATCAAAGTACGCCTATTGTATTACATTGCTTATTAATATATTCATTTAAAAAAATAAGTTTTCCACAAAACATAATAGATTTTATTTCAAAATAAACACAAGTAAACTTATATTTGATTTGAATTAAGAGTATAATATTTTTGTATAATGTTGGTTATTTAATGTAAATGAATATTTTTTTGTGTATGCTCTTAAAATAGTAATTTATTTATAACAAACATAGAACTGTTTTAAAATAAAAAATACTGGTTTACATTTGACATTAATTTATTAAGTGTTATTATTAACAGAGGGCGTGATATGTCAGATTAGAGACATTACATTAATTATACTGTAACCACAAAACCGAAACAGATTCCTGCAATTATTTAGATATTAGAGATCTGTAAAATCAACGTCCACTGTAATGGACAAGGGGTCTGAAAGGGTTAAA